GCTCCAGGCTCTGAGCCATCAGCCCAGAGCCTGACGCGGGGCTCGAACTCACGGAGCGCGAGATCGTGACCTGGCTGAAGTCGGACGCTTAACCGACTGCGCCACCCAGGCGCCCCTCTGACCATTTCTTAATAACTAGTTTTCCAAATGAAGTCCTGGATCAGTAGCACAGGTTAGTAGAGCCATGAAATCAATGTTTCTGAACTTGGGAGCTAGTGACATAAACAAACTGCCTGGGACTAGGGAGTTAGAGAGCTTAGGTCTGCGTTCAAGCTCAGTTCGCACCCACTGGGTGGCCCGGGCAGTTTCTTTAACCCTGTTGGAGGGTTAAACTAATAACTAGCTGTGATTAGTAGCACGTACTTACTGTGTGCTACTTGGAGTATTTTATCACCTTACCTAATAGGGATAGTAGAGTGAGCCAGACCTCCTGGATTGAATTCCTGGCTCTGTCACTTTCTAGCTACTTAACGTGGGGCACTTTAACCTCGCTGTGACTCAGTTTCCTCTTCTATACAATGGAAGTGGTGAGAATGACTTCGTACACAAGCCCCAGCAAAGCTTAGGACAGTGCTCGGTGCATGGTAATACACACTCCGTATTTGTTCACATTACTTTTTATTTATTTATTTTGAGAGAGACAGTGCAAGTGGGGGAGGGCCAGAGAGAGAGGGAGACAGAGAATCCCAAGCAGGCTCTACATCACCAGCGTGGAGCCTTATGCAGGGCTTGAACTCACGAACTGCAAGATCATGACCTGAGCCGAAACCGAGAGTCGGACGCTTAACCGACTGAGCCACCGAGGTGCCCCTCATTACCTTATTTTCAAACACGAACAGTGGCCGCCACACTTGAGGCAGTTATTCCCACCTTCTTTGCCACAAAACCCTTATTTGGTTCAGGTAGCAATAAACTCAAGCCTGGACAACTGTGACTGGTCCAAGCCACATGGTTATCCCATTCCCCACTGCCAGAGATCTGCTTTCCTATCCCTTAGAGCTAGAGGTGGCCATGTGGTCCATATTGGGCCGGTGAGATGGAAGAAGTCCACTGGAGGGGCTCCTGGGGACAAATTTCCTCCGTGATAAGAGGAAGCTCTTGAGGAGACCCTGTTCGCCCACTCCCCGTATCTCCTCCCTTTGAAATCTGTTGTGTGAGGCCACTGTGTACGGGGTGGTGGCAGCCACTTTGCTTCCACGAGATTCAAGATGGAGGATGAAAATCAACGTGCTAAAATTGGTGCAGGGGAAAATGAAGGCTCTGGTTTCTTAAGGACACCACGGAGCACAGCTTCCAACCTTTAAGCTTTCTACTAGGTTAACAATAGATGCTATGGCTTAAGCTCCTGTCGGGTTGGCTTTCTGATGTCTGCAACCAAAAGCAAGTCAGCGCAAGAAATGAGAGTCACGTGGGACGCGACACCAGACTCTAGCTTTTCCTCAAGTATGAGGGACCAAGGACTGGCTGGGCGCTCGTTCGTCTCACCACGGAGGACGTTGGCCACAGTTAGGATCGTGTAGCCAATTACAACCGCGGGCCTGGAAGGAAATAGGAAAGAGCAGGCTTGGACCTCACGTAAACTCTGAGGGCTGTTCTAGCTGAATGGAAATGGATTCTTTTGTGCTAGTCACACACAGAAACGGACGAGTCCCTGTGAATGGAAAAAGGGGCCCTCTGAGTGGGTTTCTTATGCTCATTTCAGCGAATGAAAACAAAAGAAAGACAGCCTTCAGAGAAACCTCCTCACAAAAGTGAAGTTAATACCCAGGGAGTCAAGCCGAAAAAGGGGGTGAAATAGTGCAGTCGGCCCCCTGTGTCCAGAGATTATTCTTACTCTTTTTTTTGGCCTATTTTCTATCTTGCCCTTCTCTCCCCTTAGGGCATAATCACTAATGTTGCTCTCAGCCTATTCTGTCTAGTTTATTATGTGTAATTTATTTCTGAATCCCAGCCTCTGCTTGTTCGTCTGTGTGTAACAAGGTTAATGCCTTGTAATGATGCTTTTGCCAGTTCTGCCTTTCATGACAAAATCCAATCTTGATTTAGCTCTAAACCTTGTCTCCCCTTTGGGCTTTCTTGGTTCCCTCAGAGTTGTCATTGTGCTTCTCTGCCGTCTGCCATGTCTAACCATAACGTCATGCCTTCATGCTTTAGCCCTCTCTAGAAGGGAAAGTTTTCCCAGTTTGAGGAAGAAGCTACTTCGTCTCAGCGTTTGGGCTCAAAAAGAGACAAGCTTGGGGGATGCCTGGGGGGCTCAGTCGGTTGAGCACCCGACTTCCGCTCAGGTCATGATTGCACGGTTCGTGAGTTCGAGCCCCGCATTGGGCTCTCTGCTGTCAGCGTAGAGCCTGCTTCAGCTCCCCTGTCCCTTTCTCTCTCTCTGCCCCTCCCTCGCTCACGTGCTTGCTCTGCCTCAAAAATAAATTAAAAAAATTAATTAAAAGAAAAAAGAGAGAGGCTTGAGCTCAATACACCAAAGTGGAACCAAGGCTACTGTGAAGGCATGAGTGCTAGTGTGTGTGTGTGTGTGTGTGTGTGTGTGTGCGTGTGCACGCGCACATATGCACGTATGTGTGTGTGTACAGGTAGTGGGCTTATCACAAGGGGAAACAGCTCGACCTCTCTGCAGCACCCTTATACTACCTTTCATCGACAGTAAACACTCCCTGGGGGTGCCGCACAACTCCAGGGGGCACCAGTCACGTATTCTAGGGTTGAGCGGCACCCTCTGGACTTGGGTAACGCTGAGGCCCTGCTCCCACCCTATGAAAGATGGTTTGATCATCAAGCCTTTGCAGGGTGTTCACAGCCACACTGCAGCTCTTATGGGGACAGCTGCAGGAAATGTGCACAAAAGTGGGGCCTCAAGTGTTAGGGA